TATTTTTGAATTTCTTTACAACAAATTTTTAAATCTGTGAGAGAAGAATTTGCTTAAAGCAAACTTGCTTTTTAAGCTCTCTCAAACACCCTCTTAGTCTCAATAAAATGACCCAAGTATGGTTTTCATGGTATAATTTCCTCTCTGTTTCAGGCATCATTTCCTGAATTTGGCTTCAAGTCTTCTTGGTCTCAGGAAAAAAAAAATTTCAAGATCACTTATTTTCTTTTCAATTTTATCTCTAATTGTAAGTAAGCAACTGTGATTTATATGGAGGATTGTAACGTGTGGATATGTCCTTCCTTACTCCTAACCATACCCCCAAACCTTGATTTCTCGTAGACTAGTGGTGAGTTACTCCACCATTATTTGGGTAGGTAGCAACTCTAATTTTTTTAATTTTGCACTTAATTTTCTATTTTGAATTTTAAGTAGTTGTCAATCATTCCATATATCAAACTACCAGGAGGTAAGTGTAATAACTCTTATTAGAAGCAAAATTTTCCCATATGTCCTCTAAATTAGGGCAATGTAAAAACTAAGTAAACCACGGAATCAAACAAATCAAACCAGTGCAAACGAAACTTGTCATTCATCCTTCAGTGAGCAAAAGTCCCAAAGTTGAGCTCCTTGAAATGCCTCCCTGGTCTAGTGTAGTTCATTTTGAATTTCCAACTACACCTCATGCAAGTATAAGCCAAATATGTTACATGATGCTAGAACATAGAGTTCTGCTCCAAATTCATTTGCAGGTCAATGTGCTTGGTCAAGGAAACTGTTGCATATTTTCCCAATATTCTGGATTGTTGATTTAGTAAATAGCCAACTCTAGTTCTCTGAACACTTCTCAACTATCTAACAAAGCAGAGGCTAACCCTACCAATTTTTGTTTGAAACAAAGAGATTAATATCATGTCCTTCCATTGTTAACTAAAATTGTTGCTCGATGAAAATAAAAATAGAAACTCTCCTTCAACTAGGGGATTTTTATAGTATAATTATTAGAAATTTTAGACTTTCTCACAATTATTATAAATTTCATTTTGTAGTACAATTATTTAGAAAATATTAAAAAAAAGTGTAAAATGGAAAGAATTTCCATCATTCTAATTCAGAGATTACTGCTAATTCTCTGTTAATTGGTTTCCTAGGGATTTTGGCACTTGTCAGAGCTCCATCTGCATGGCCAAAGGGATTTGGTGGCATTGTCAAACTGTTTGCTTCTCCTTCCAACCTATGAACCATGGATTTCATTGATGGTCAGTCTGTTGGGTAGCACTGGATGCACCAAAGTCCAACAATTGTAAGTTTTCTTGCTATCTTGGCATGTTCCTCATTCTCTATTCTAATCCCCAGCACTTCTCCTCTGTCCAAGTAATTATACGTCCATTCTGGGAAGTAAACTTGGCTTGTACTCCCCACTGTTATGTCAATATTCTTCCTCCCTCCTACCATTTACAACAATAGCATACCAAAACTATAAACATCTGATTTATATCACACTTTTCCATAGTTCCTAGACAGTACCTCCGGCGTAATATGTCCCATTGTTCCTCTAGCTGCTGTCATAGAAATGGCACTTTGCTCCTTGGAACACAGTTTTGCTTGACCAGAGTCAGAGATCTTAGGATTGAAGTTAAGGTCTAGCAAGATATTGTGAGGCTTGATGTCAAAATGAAGGATTTGTTGATCACAACCTTGGTGCAAGTACTCAATTCCTTTCGCTATTCCTATTGCAATATCTTGAAGATTCTCCCAACTGGGGGGACAACTTTCTGGTTGCAAAGATAAACTTCTCCAATGATTCATTTGGCATGTACTCATAAACAAGAGCTCTTTTATTTCCATCCGCACGAAATCCAATTGAGTGACATTGACATGATGGATTCTGCAAATTGATCCAACTTCATTAATGAATTCTTCTCTAGTTGCTTTGAAATTGTTGGGGACCTTAACAGCAACCAAAACATCATTGGAAAGCCTTCCTTTGAAAACAGTTCTATAAGCACCTTCTCCTAGTTTGTCCTTGAACTGATCTGTTGTTCTCTTGATATCAGCATAAGAATATCTTGAGGGCTTGAGTTCTTTGTAATCCTCCAGAAAATTTTCAATCTTGAGTTGGCCCTCTTTCTTTGATCTATATGAGTGGTGCACACGGTAAAGTCCAATGAGAATTATTACAAATAGACCGAAACCTAGGATACATAATACCAAAAAAATTAGAAAAGGAGAAGCCGTTCCAGTTGAGAAATTTTGAGAAGAACTTATTTTGACTTTTCAAAGGTGGACGTTCCTTTATTGTCTTTCTTTCGAGTTGAAATTACCTGCCTGATTTTGGACTTTCTGCTTTTAAGTGATTTCAATCATGTTCTTACAAAAAGGGTGAACTTTATTCGTGCTTCCAATCTTTTAGAACACTAACCTTTTTGTGTAGTCCTTTTTTAATGAATATATATCTCTATGTTTTTGATAATTGTAATGATAAGTTATGAATTATGAAAAAGTGTTGTGTATCTACCTGATGTGAATTATATAATTATAAATATTAATGGAAGAGGATCACTAAATGTAGGACCTTTCTCTTTCAAAATCAATGGTCAATTTGTTACAATCTAACTCAAGTCAAATTGCAAAGTTGCATTCTCTATGAATTATATGATAGGGGTACCTCTCCACTTTTATAATCTCTTGATCAAGGGTCAAATATGTTTTGAGTCCTCCTTCGGATTGCTTGCCAATAGACCTCAATTAAAGGTTAATGACTCAATTGAAATCCCATCATAAGCTCAGGGACTAAGTTTGACATTCTTCACCCATTACTTTTAAAGGACACCCTTTGTTTCGTGGAGTCCCAAGACAGAAGCCTTTTCCGAAGAGAATGCCAAATACAGAAATATTGATGTAGTTTCAAAATCGGGAATTAGACAGCAACTTGATGGAAACTGTTTTAGATCTTCTATTGAGAATAATGGATTTTTTAGACTTATGGGATGCAAAAGTCATGTTCAAACAACTTGAATGTTTTCTATATGTGTTCATTTTAACAGTTGAGGAAGAATGAATTGAAGGTGTTTGCTTTATTGCCTCGGAGAATTACCGACTTTGAATTGAAGGGCTAATTTCTATCCGTATAAAGAATTTTTTTTGTTATCATTAGTTTTCTCTCCTACTTATGCTTTAGGATGTTAAGAGCAAAACTTGAAATACTTTTCAGCCTCATGGTCTCTTGCTTTCTCTTTCTTTCCTGATGCGTGTATGGCTATAGCCAAATACAAGCCTTGCCTCCCTATTTCTTCTTGTGGAAACCTCACTATTACGTACCCTTTTCAATTAAATACCGATCCTGTTGTGTGGTCAGCCAGGGTATCAGCTGGTATGCGAGAAAAATCACACAACTTTGGTCACAAAAGAGGGGAAATTCTTTGTCGAGAACATCACAAACTATAGTGTTCGACTGGTTGATGCCAGTCTTCACAGGGATATGTGCTCCATTCCTTGCAGTTCCCTTCTTTTTGAAGGCGCTTGTTGGAAAATGCATCTTTCTAACTATCTTGCTTATATTTTAAATTGCAATATACAGATGAATTCATCACTTTGTGTTGATTCCCCTGCTTGTACCAATAGCACTTCCTCTTCATATAATTACATTTTTGTCTTCAATGAACCAGCATAGGTATCTGATTTCAATGAGTCGTGCACAACTGAAGCCCAATTCCCTATTTTTTTCTCTAATATCACAGGTCTAACTGCTTCTGATATTTACCATAAGCTGCTAGAGGGTTTTGAACTGGATAGGGATTGGTTCTCCTTGAATAAT